GCAAAAATTCTTTATCAAAATTTGAAATAGAAAGTGTTTCAAATAATTCATCCCGTTGTTTATCAATAATTTTATCCTCTAATCCTTGCTTCTTGATTGTATTATATAATTCTTTATACATTAAAAAGTTTTTTAAATAATCTTCTGCTTCTTCTTGTGATAAATAAATAATTGGAATTTTGATTAAATGCTTTAAAGATTCAAATGTATCATCTGAAGGTGAACCTGAACGGTTGATATAAATTAACACGTGTGAATGGGGGGAAGTGTTAGCAATAATGATAATTTGTTTTAATATCGTTAATGTTTTACCTTTATTTTGTTTACCAATTGCTGCAGTGATTGAATTTAAGTAACATTCAGAATATGGAATTTTCATTAATTTTTCCTTAGATAGAGCATTTCTATTATCACTCAATGCTTCATTAATCATATCATCTACGTATGTATTATATACTCCTGCTAATTCTTCATAAGGGGTGGATGAATTTAAATCCATTTAATCAAAAATAAATTTATAATTTTAAACATTTCTATTCATCAATATTTCATCATATGAACTTCTATACTGTGGTGGTGTACCTGTTGGATGATATTTCAAACCTTCATCCGGTGTCCATGTCCAATATGTAGTCCTAGTAAACCAAACCTGAGGAGGATTTGTCACCTTTGAACAGTAAGTGTCATTTTCACCCTGAATGATTGGATAAGCTTTCACTTGTACTGTAACTTGTGAGTTAAAAGTTTCTAATCCATCAAAGAATATACCCGCTCATCACGTTGAACTGGAATAGTGCATAAGAATGAAGTTTGGTCTTTCCATGTTCTAGCTAATGGCATGCCATCATCTGCATTCAGTGGTCTAGTTAATGAGTCCTCGTATTCTTCCGTGCATTCATTCACTCCATCTAAATCAGAAGCTTGAAGCATACGTGTAAAGAATATGTCACCCACTGTGGTCATCGCTTGATCGGGGAAGTTTCTGGAATCTATAGTGACCTGAAGACCTCGAAGCATTGGATTTTCTAAAACTGTTCTTTGCATTGCATTTTTCGGAAATGTTAACACAACATCTGTAACATTATGAAGAGCATATGAGAAATCTGAGCTAATACCCTCGGGAGTGATGCAACCTCCATTTAGTGAACGAACGTCAATATGTTGAGCTGGAATCATGAATGGATCTTCCTTACTGAATAAACGTGGTATTGCTTTAACTGATTCTTCAATTAAACCGTATCCTGGTGTAATACATTTATCCTCTAAAACTTCCATCTTTGTGCATGAAATAATAACGTCATCAACTGTTGCGTCAGCAGATGTAGCGGCTAAGCTTGTAATTAATTTGGCAGGAAGTCCGATTTGTTGGAATTTGCGATCATATTTATAAACATGATTCATAATCTTTTCATAATTTTCATCAGTTATCTTTTCATAAACGTAATTTTGTAAATCAGCAACTCTTAACGGGTCAACCTGACAAAATACTAAAGTATCCCTGAAAACATAATATTTAAGAATGATATCACCAAATGATTTAGGATAATCATCGAACGCCTGAAATGCTAACAAATCATTTACCGGAATAATCATATCAAAAGTGATATCAACTTCTTTATTTGCGTTCTTGAAAACTTCAGAAGGGTCAATATATTTACCACATACTGAGTTATCATATTTTTGAACATTATTATATAACGAATGAACAAACTTTTTAACTTTCCTTTCTGATTTTGGTTTATATGTTGCAAATGCGAAAGATTCACGGGCGCAATCCATTTGAAGATAACCGGCATCACCTCTTTCAGTTTCTACTTCTAATTGTTTAAAGCTTTGATTTGATGATTTGTAACCAACGAATAAACGCATGCATTTAAAAGCGGCATCACATGTGAAAGCTTTATTTGAAACTAGAGTTGCTTTAACTTTGCGTTTAATATATGTGTCACCTAATTGGTTCACATCATGAGCCGGATTTGTAATTCTTAAATGAGTTTGTTTATCATCAAAATATGGAGTATCAGAGTCATAGCATGAACTTTCAAGTTCTCTATAATATCTTCTACCGTCATTCTTTGCGAATATTTCATTTATCTTTTCGAATGAATGAAACACATTTCCATTAATCGGTTTAGTGTTTGGCACCAAATAGTTAGTCGTCATTTATTAATAAATAAAAAATCAAAATTAAAAGATGGAAATGAATTTTTAATTTTAATGAAATAATCAACTATGGCTGCAGGTATATTTAAGAAACTGTGGATAGAGTAAAAAGAGGAGCGAGTAAAGTTTGGGAAACATTGAAGAAGGGAGCAAATTGGATATTTAAGAATAAAGAAGCAATTAGTGACGTAGCTGAATCAATAACACCAAAAGCTGCCCCAATAAGAGAAATTTTAAATAAAGGAGAAAAAGTTTATCAAAGACTACAACCGATACTAAGATAAAAATAATATTTATTTTTCCACTATTTACCTCCTATTTTATTAAGTATTCCTTCAGCTATTCCACCAATTGCGTTACCTGCTTGTGCTCCCATCGCCGGATTACCTGCTTTAGTACCTAATACCCCACCTATGATAGTTCCTGCCGTTTTCGCTACTGGTGCCAGAAAGTTTGCAACAGGTTTAATAACCTTTTTATAAACCCAACCCGCAGCTTTCTTAATTCCATCCCATAATTTTTTAAAGAATCCTGCCGCCATTTCTGATTTAATATTAATTAAAAAATATATTTCATCACTTATATTCTAATTTTTATTTAATCATAAATGAAACCGATTTTAAAAATAAATGAAACAGAGGAGGAAGAAATAAATGAAAGTGAAAATGTTCAACAAAAAATAAACGTTGTTAAACCAATTACTGAAATAAAAATTTTTTCATCTGTTGAAGAATTTAATGACTATTATGCTAATAATAAAAAATTATTTGAAGAATTGACAACGTGTAAATTGAATAAAATGTTTAAAGTTGATGGATTCAAAATTTCAAAAATAAAAGGAGTGGTTAGTTTGAAATCTATTCCTCAATCAAGAATCACCTCATTAATGAAAATTGATGATTTAACAAAAAGAATAGAAGAGATTGAAGAAAGAATGAATCAAATAATTGATTTCATAAATTCAAATAATCATTAATTTTTTTATTTTTTATTTCATTATGGTAGTGAATCTTTCATTCATGAAAATAATTATTTTAAAATTAATGATTATTTTTTAATGTGTTTAGTATATAATATTTATTACTAATTCATTTAATAATGTCGCGCTTTCTTACGAATTCATGACTTAAAAAACGTAAGAAAAAATCAAGATTTAAAAATGATACAAAATCGTTCTATATTGTATGAATTCTTACGTTTACAAAAAAAATCACACAACCCTTCCACATATACTACTTTCGTGTTGAAATATCTGCAATAAAGAATGATGTTACTCATTAGATATATATAGAAACAACAGATGCAACGCAAAATTCTTGACAATATGTTTGAGACTTCCTATATTATGCAAGTTTGGCAAAATAAGGAGTTAGTTTAGAATAGAAATCCCTCATAAGGATATCTAGAATAATCTTCCCCTCAATATTATTGATTATGTGACTATGTTATATTCCAATTTTAAAAATGTTGGGAGAAATTTGAAACTAAAAATTCACAACATCGTAAATATAATTTAGATTGATAATGTCTTAAATAATGATGCAAATTCTATTTTAACTTCTGGAGTTTCACTTACATTCTCTGGACTTACATCTGGACTTAGATAGTACATTGTTAAAAAGAAAACATAACAACAAAGAGGATCCCATAAACATAAGTATGCAAGATTCAAGACTTCAAATTTGATATTAGTTTTGATGCTTTGATCATAGAATTTCAAATTCGATAAATCTCTCATCAAATGATATTGAAAAGGTTTGGATTTGATCCAGAAATATGTATTACTATGTAAAACTATTAATAAAAATAAAATGAAAATCCCTAGCCTTATCATAAACAGCCTTTTTGTATCAATAAAGTGTTGCAAATTTGTGAAAATAAAGCAGAAAGATAATACAATTACAAAGAGAGAAACTAAATATAAGGTTAACCCAGTAAGTGTATGCATAGCTTGAATTTTTTTCACAATATGAATGGTAAATTTCGAATATGGAATATAGAATGCAATAAAATGAACGAATACTAAAATTCCAATAATAATTTCTGTGATTCTTCCTATATATAATAGTATTTTTGCTCCTCGGAAATCTAATGTTAGTAAAACTTTCGTAACATCTATAAACACAAGTGTAACAGCGAATAATTGAAAGTATCTCGCTGATCTATATATGTATACATCATTTTCCTTCTTGAATAATGATAAATTTGATAAATGTAAAATTATTATTACGAAGTTAGTATAAATCGTTATGAAACAGAATGATATACTGTGATCATTTGCTACTAAATTAGATAATTTTTGATTTCTCAGAATTTGAACACCAACAAAACCATAAGGAAATAACAATAAAATTCCAATAGCAAATAGAGCAAGAACATATTCGCTGTCGCACTCGGGAAAATTTGAAAACAAACAATGAACTGAGATTTTCGATTGCCATTAAAATCTGACAGTCAGTTTTTATATCAGATCGTTTAATAAATACAACAAATAATAGATGAGCATTTTACGCATGATAAACAATCATTTTTCATCATGTGATTCTGATTCTCACAATCCTCTGAAAAGTCCGAGAAAATTATATACCATTTTCTCTCAAAATTTGATTCATATAATCATCTTTTTAATTTTCTGATTCAACAAAAATAAATTAATTGTAAACTTTTCAATTCCCTCAAATTTTGAGAAGCAGGAACGAATAATTTGATTTCATGTTTTTGAAATATCTTAAACTGTATTTAAAACAAAAAGGATAGCGATTATAAACAGGGAATAAAATATATTTAACAAATTATATAAAAAGAGTCAAATATTTTCCGTATCAGTGAAATTCAAGTTACTCATCATCATTTTCTTCGTTATCGTTCTCTGGAGCCCCATTAAGTTCTCTAGAAGTTAAGTCTGGTGTGAGTTCCATTGATGTGAGGTCTGGTTGGTTCAAATCGGGATCGACTGGTTCCTCATCATGCTGTTCTTCCGGCTGCTGAGGAGGGATCTCGATGTGCTCTGTGTCTTCTGATTCCTGGTTGGAGTACTGTGAGTCAGACTCGTCAAGTCTCTTCTCGTAGAACTTTGATGCGACGAAGCCAACGATGAGAGCGGCGACAACGACAGCTCCAGCGATTACAGCTAATAACCACATTGGTGTTGACTTGCCAGTGGACTTTCCGCCCTTTCCAGAGTCAGCGTTGGCGACATGGCTGCTGTTTGTGTTGGATGCGTCTTCTGTTTCAACTGGGATATCGCCTGTGTCTTCGTTACCCTTTGAAGCAGTTCCATCTGGATCTTCTGTTGGGAGATCGCCTGGGATGACTGGAACAGCGGCTGTTGGGCCTGTGCCTGGGCTAGATGCCTGGCCATTGCTTGGCTGGCCGTATGGGATCTTGGCTTCAACAACACCTGTAGCGTAGAAAACAATAGGGATTTCTGTAGCTGAAGTGACTGTGTTGCCATCCTGAGAAATAGTTCCAGCCATTGTTGTAGAATCAAGCTTGCAGTTAACGACAATCATTTGGACACCGGAATAAACACCGAAGATTTCGTGTCCACCGTAAATGTTATCTTTGAATATGCATGAGTCGACCTTTAATGACTTCTTTGATCCTTCAGTTCCAACCAAATACCACTTTGCAACTGTGTTTTCAATAAAGTTGGAGTTACTGATAGTGCAAGTATCTGTAATATAGTAGGCATAGAGTATACCACATGTGGAATAGCACTTATAAAAGTTAGTGTATGATGTATCAATCTTCGTGGCAGTATCATAAGCTAAGACGCCATTTGCAGCACCTTTGATGCCTGCGCTAGCCCAGTCATTAGTAAAGTTGAGATTAGACAATTTTCCATATCCAAAGCAATCTAAAGGCTTAGAACCGCCAGGGCAATTGATAAATGAGTTCAAGGTTAGAGTGTATACTATATCTGATGTTGGTTTAATATGTGCAATGCAACCATAGTCATAAGAACTTCCTGACTTGCAGCTATCAACGACAGTTTTCATGACCTTGAAATTGGTAGAAGCTTCGAAGCTGAAACCACCAGCCCATGTGGCTTGGCAATTTGTGAAAGTAGTTTCTGTGATTGTTGTAGAAAATGCTGGTGTGCCTTGCTGAATTCTTACGGCAGGATGATAAACTGCCCATCCACCAAGACCAGTAAATTGGCAATCCTGAATAAGGATATCTTGAGTAGCATAAATGTCAAGATATTTTGATTGTGTTCCAGTGTACTCTTCAGAGGCAGCGAGTGCGCAGAGCAGAAACATTATTGAAAAATAAATTTTGAGAAGAGATAGAAATTATTACACCTTTTTGCGTCATAGTTGCCCTCAGAAAAGAAGGGCTAAATAAAAATAAATCGACTTAGTTTTAATGAATAAGATTAGACAATTTAGTTCTTCTTCCAAGTATTATTTCATTTTGAATAAGATTCTAATCAAATGAATACTATTCAATTGATTTTTATAGTTCATTTCTGAATGAGCTTGTTTGATTACATAATGGGGAGAAGCTTCCTAAACTTTTAATCCCATAAATATGGTCATTATCTGGAATAAAGAGTTAAGCGTCATATGTCACTTTTTGTACTAAGGAAACATCGACTTTATGCGTTATGACTTTTCGATGAGGAAACAAGTGTTCACGTATTATAAACTTCCTTATTCCAATAAACCGGCCCTAAACATAATTAATTTTAAGCATTATAATGGTCTCTTTTCTATGATAACCAAATCAATTTGGTTATCATAGAAAAGCACCAAAAACTGGAATAGGAATAGCCGCGTTAAAACAGGAATAGGCAATATGGAAACAAGGGTAGACTCAAACTCATACTCAAGGCAAGACTGATACAAGAATTACAACAAAATTTTACAAAATCTATTATTTATCTCAATTTAATGGCAGGTTTTAGTACCCGAAGAGTTTGCATTCTACTTTTTGCTCTTATTTTACAAAAATATTCTAAAAATTTGTAACTTCTTTTATAATATAATACTTTTTTTCAAATTTACTTTCCAAACGTTAATGTCTTGTTACGGCTATATCTTTGTACGGGGAAATAAAGAAATTTTATTATGCTATTATATTATTTTTTTAAATCAATATCTAATCAATAGTAAGTTAGATTTTTTATTAAAAGAGCAAATAAAGATACGATCGAGCAATAGTTTATTTTAAATCTCAATATTATAAAATAAATGTTCAAAATTTTTAAGTAATAATACTAAATACTTAAATAAGTAAAAGCACACAAGAAAAATATTCACTAACTTAAGAAAAAATCATATATTTAGAGAATTATCCCTTATAATAAGATTAAAAAAAATTAAACTGTTTTCAATCATCATCATCACCAGCTCCATAGAACTTGTGTTTGCGATAGATGACACATTTTGCAAGCCATTTGACACCACCAAGATATGACCACAAATCGCTGCCAACATCTCCACCTTGAAGACCTTTGATCAAACCATCAGGAACAATGTAAGTAATTTCATCGTCGAGCATGAACCAAACTCTTCCTTTGTTGACGAAGGCAACGAAATGACCTTGATGATAAGCAATAATGGAATGTATCTTAAATACATACGTTCCATCACTGAGTTGAGTTTTGTAGTTCTTCTTGATCTCAAATTTGTCAAAGAAGACATTTGGATCAGACCAATTCCTCTGAACGTCGACCCAGAGGAATGTTGAGATTTCATTGATATGAGAATCATCTGTGCACATTTGTTTAATTCCTTGATCAATACCTGCTGCACCAAGAGGAATGTGAAGCGAAACCGAATAGAAGCTTTCATCAGGAGTCTCAGTTTGATATTGGAATGTAACGGCAATATCTGGTTTGTTTGCTGATTCCGTAACATCATGTACAATCTTTTGAAATGTGTCATCGGCATCTTGCTGCTGGAAGTATTGCTTGCCGAGTGTTGTGATGAATTGTGAGCATGAAATTGTGTATTCCTTGTGGCGGTAGTGCAACATCTGATCATAAATTTCGGCAAGTGCTTTCACTGGCGTATATTCGACATCTCCCAAATGCTCCATTACATCTTTTCTGAAAGTATTTACGTAGAACAAAACTTGCAAAACGGCATTGACATGGCAGGTAGCTCCCTCATTATGTAATCCTGGAATTGACATTTTTGTTTCGATGTTGTAGATTGCATTTTGTGTTCTTTTAATAAGTATCTTATCAATCTTTTCATATCCAGCTAGTGGAGATGGAATCTTCATTGGAGTTTCTGGAGTTTGGAGATAAAGATCTTTTGGAACACATCTTGGCTTTGGCATTGGGCTTCCTGAACCATTTGGTTCTGGTGTTGCTGCAGCTTCTTTTTCATCTTTTGGAGTGCAAGGAAAATCGCAGTTATCCTTCTCACTGAGAGGTGTGGAATCGATGTGATAGTTATCTAAAGCAAACAATCCTTGAACAATAAGTGGAAGATTGCCTTTTTCACCACGATATCCTATTGCCAAGACACTCCAATTACTTTTATCGCGTGCAAAGCGGCGTTCGACAATTTGGCGATCATGTGCAATCGCATTATTGCGTTTTGTAACTTCTTCGTCATCACCTCTTTGCATAATGACGGCTGTTGGATGGTATTTCTGAATACCGATGTAACCTCTATCTGCAAGAAGTTCTAATGCAACAGATTCAACTCCACGTTGGACATGTAAAAAATCTGAAGCTCCTGATAAATCAAATACTTTCTTATCGTGAACTGAAGCTAAAAAACTTGTATTCATGTGAATTACCTGTCCTAAAGGATTAACAAGAACTTGAACCTTCATACCATTGCAATGGTTTTTAGCATCCCATGAACTTTTACGCTCAGCAAGATCAAGAGGAACGGTAAAAGGAATAGTAGAGCTATCAACTGCAGCAACACATGTTGGAAAGTTATCGAACTCCTTGTCACAGGGAGAATATTGTTTTGGAATGAATTCAGCAATGAAAATAGTTAGTATACATATCATGTGTACGAAGGCACTGCGCGCCTCCTTACCCATTATATGTGAATTTGACACTTTACAAAACCACTAACATATATTTTACAACACAAACAACAACACTAACTTAACCTTAAATATTTACAAAGCCACCAACCACTTCACCTCACTAACGTTTTCACAAACGACTTCACTACTGTAAAAAATAAACGTTCTCACTTACAAAAGTATTGCAACTCCTCCCATTGCTGTGCTTCACACAATACTTCATATTCTTCAGTATCGCTGTTGTCGCTCCAATCGTCAGAGTCAAAGTCACTGTCAAAATAAATGTTAGTAAGTTTTGACAAAGCTAATGAAACACGTTTACCGTTTGTATCGTATGCTTGTATAAACTTTCCATTCTTCATTCCTTCATAAACGCTCAAACTAACTTTACCCTTTCTCCCTCGTATCTGATAGAATGTATTTTCACGAGGAACGAAGAACAAATTCTTGAACTCATGACCGTTGTAGTTTGTTATCTCAATAGTTTTCGTCATTTATATAAAAATTAATGATATCACCACCCTCACACGTATGAAAACATAGCACAAAAATAAATTTAGGTGAAGTGGTGAGATTTCACCTCTTTTTTCACCCTATTGAATTCATTGCTTTATAACTCTCTTCCTTGGTTTCTTTTTAGTTGCTTTCTTCACGTCTGTCTCCAACTTGACTGTCTTTCTTCTTCGTCCGTAATGATACCAATTACTTCCACCAGTCAATGGGTCAAATGGTCGTTCATAAGGGTTTCCATACATTCCATAAGGTCCGTATGGATAAACCGCTGGTGGAGAAGAAACATTTTCTTTAGTTCCATCGACTCTATTTAAATGCATTGTTTCACCTTTCATCTGGTCATTAAAGTCTTTTGCGTGTTTTGCAAACTCATCGTCCTTTCCTAAAGCATTTTCTGACTCAGTCGCAACCAAATTGGATGCTTTATTTATGAGCCCTATTTTATTTAATCTTAACTTCTTTGCAACCCAGCCTCCAATCTTCCCTTTATTTGCATCTAATGTCTTCGAAACCCTTCCTCCACTCATTTTATTTACTGCGTCATAAGCTCCAAGTGCTTTTGCTCCAAATGCTAATGCTTTTGTTCCCATTGCGCATAAAGCTGCCCAAGCTACCATTTACACCATATTAAAATCATCTCTCTTCAATATTATCTCATAAAAGTTCTCGTTACTGGAGAAAGTCAATGAAACATAAGCGTTCTCACGGGCTTCGCCCTCACCGCTTTGCGGTCTATCTAACTTCTTTCTTATATCATCTATACGCTTCAAAATGTCTGAACAATTGCTAACATCTTCTACAACAGTTATTTCATCATGAATGACCTTCAAGAACAAGCTCATTTAATATGCTATTAAAATCATCTCAATAATGAGTCCATCCTTTCCGTCTTTGGGTAGCACAACATCTTTCATTGAAGAAGGTTCGACAAGTCTTATGTTAAACTTACTGACAAAGTTTGTTATACTATAATGCTTTGGCGGCGAATACATATAGTTTGAAAGACATAATATAGATTCTTCAGCAAATTCACTTATACTGAATTTTATAACAATGTTCTCACGAGACCAAATGCCACCAATTGACAATCTTGTAAGCAATCCTGCTGAACCTTCAACTGTAAACGTCGATGGTAACATTCCACGAAGGTCATCTATTGACATCGTTGAGTCACTGAATTTAAAGATTTTCTTAAAGCAATCGTCATTATCTAACCATGCAATAGCTTTGAAGTTTTCATTCGAATAGACATCTGCTTCATTAAATGTAAATCCTGACTTCTTTGCAGAGACGACTTTAAAATCTATTGAGTTTGTTTCAAAATTATATGCTATGGTAACTTCTGAAGGTAATGGATGCCCTTCCGCAGTCAGTTGTTCTCTCACTACCGTTTGAAGCTTTGTATTAAAAACTTTCATGTCATCTCCTGTGTCTAGGTTCACATACACAGCAACAGGGAAACTATCTTGCTTCTTTGTTTCATCATTATATCTCAAAACATTAAAGTTCTTCAATAATATTGTTCTTCCTGCTGGAATACTTCGAACCTGTCTGATTTCAATAGCTTTCTCACCTTCTACATACTCTACCCAGTGTCTTGGATATTCATAAGTATACTGACTTTCTTGAATTTTGGTTGGTTTCATCATAACGTGTTCATAGTATATCTTTATACTCTTGTCAGTTAGACTCGGTGCTATGTTCTGAATATTTCTGACTTGCATTTTTAATGGAGATAAAATGAAGCATTTAATACATGACGTAGATGAAGACATGAATGAAACTACAGACAAACTTAACTCTTCTCTCATTCTTCCTTTCAGCAAAGATTATGAGTTCTGTTCAAATGGTGTGTATTTCTATTGTGGAAAGATGGGTTCAGGTAAGACATTTAACCTCATTCGTCATATACTCATAACAGAGCGTTTAGGAAACGACTCTTACTATGACCAAATCATTATATCAGCAACTTCAGACTCTATGGACTCAACAGCGAAAACATTTATGTCAAAAGTTCAAGCCTCTGTCGTTAAAGTTCCAGACAGTGAACTCATTGAATTTCTTCAACGTTACATTCGACGTAAGAAGAAATATTATGCCATCGTTGAATTTATACAGTCAGGAATGCAAAAGACTTCTGAGGAGATGGAAAGAATTATTGACAAACACCACTTACGTCAATACTCAGGAGTATACGATATGAAACGACTTACAAACTACATTCTGTCAAAACTTTCAAAATACCCCTTCAAAAAATATCCATCAAACACTTTATTAGTTTGTGACGACTTCGCCGGAAAAGGTTTAATGTCAAAACCAGACTCACCATTAGCTAACATCATAACTAAAGTCAGACATTACCATTTAACTGTAGCAATACTTATGCAAACATAGAGGTTTTTAGCTTTAAACATAAAACGTCTCATAACTGACTTCGTTATCTTTCAAGGTTTCTCACGCTATGATATTGAACTCATTTAGAAACAGTCAGGTATAACATTACCTTTTGAAGAAATTTGGGAAGCATATAAGTCTCTCATCTCTCCTCGTTCATACCTTGAGATTCATATCATGACTAATACCATTAAAGTCAAAAATATTCCATGGGAACGACCAACATTGTTTTAAAGTTTAACCTTCAATTGACTGATGGTAAACAAATTCCATGCATCTCTGTCGCCATTTCTGGTAATATTTTTGCTGTCATTCATATCATCCACTTCCTCATCCGTTAGCTTTTGAGGATATGCGTTAGAATAGCTGTTCTTAAATGAATGCTTTTCACCTTTGAGAGCATAAACTCTATAACTTTCTGCATATTTTATGTTTGAACCTCCTGAGCCATCATTGACATAAATTTTTATAGGCTTCCACCCTTTGTTCATGTTCCTGCTTCTTCCCTTTGCTCTTTTGTTCAGTAGTTCTACATCTTTATACACAGCACCTGTCTCAGTGAATTCAACAATATTTTCATTCGTTAGCTTTACATTCAAACCCTTGTCGAGTATATTGTTCATTTCATACATATAAAAGGTTTTTATTCTATATGAAATGAGAAGCAAATCCATCTTAGCTGGTGCCGTTAATGTTCCAATTGAACCAACATCAAATGTTGACTCACGAACGACAAACAATATTGTCATAAAGAATTATAGTTCGGAGTGTTTGAAAGAGCCAGAACCAGAGCTGAAATCCGTGAATTTAAACACAGCTTCAAACGCTAACGCTACATCAGATGTTAAGTTAGAGTATCCACCACTGGACCAAATTCTTTCAAGAGAAGCCAACGACAATCCTTACACAAATGTTCAAACAAATCCTTCAGATAACGTAGACCATTACCTTCTTCAGTTATACCAAACAATTTTACTCAAAGACGATAAGAAGCTTTTGACAAATCTTATAAGCAAGAACCAAATAATTCTAACAAAGGAGGATTTAGAAAATGTTATATCAAGAATAACAGGGAAACAATGTGTCATTGATTATCTCGACCCTGAAATCGAATGCTGTGGTCAAACTCCACTATTCATGAAAATAGGTAACATCCGCATCATTGAAACACCAGGAACTACAGGAGTTGAGTTTAAGTATAAATATTCGAATGAATATACAAAACTTTCAACAGAATATAAACTTTGCTTGAAATATGTTTTAGTAAATTAAAGCAGTCAGGACCTTCGGTCTTGGCGCTTTGCGCCGTCAGTCAAAAAATTTCAAGTTAGCAATTTGTAATATCTATCCAAAACTTCTTCAACAGTATCGAACTCATCTTCATAATGCAAACCTAATCTTATTGACTTGGTGCAGTTTTCACTAACACAATATTTTTCTGTTCTCTTGACTGACATAACTAACTCATTTGTTTCATCAAACAGCAACAACCAAAGTTCATGACCTAATACATAACATTCATACTTTATATTTTTAGCTCTGAGTTCTCTTGTAAGCTGTTGCATTTAATATTTTCTAAAAAGTCAACTTCAACAGTCATTCGCACTGGTGCCTTCAGTTCTACAGGCTCTCCTTGAAAGTCAACAAGTCTGAATTGCATGTCTTTCAAATTATGAGGACTAATGCGAACCCATTTACCTAAATGAGTTGCTATGACAGGAACGTTTGGAATGAACATTGAATTTACTTCATAACAGAAAGACTTATATTCTACTGAACCTTTACTATTAACTCCTGAAATGCCTGTGACATTAGCTATTTTAGACTCAATGTATAAACAATTACCATAACATACATATGGAACAGATTTCATCTCAATCGTTTTGTCAACACTTTTCAAAGGAAATGTCATATGGTATGCTCCCAGAAGCAATTGAACTCTATGACTCATTCGTGTTATCTTAAACTCCTTCGCATAACTGAACTTCAATGTTCCCTCAGAAGAGAGTTCGACATCTATGTTGTCAATAGTTTCTTCATTTATGAGAGTATCTATGACTCCAGCAATTTTATCTATTCTATACCCGGCTCTGTTAGGAAATGTTATAACACTTATTTTGTCATCTATTTCAATCTCTATGAAATCTGTTTCATCTGTTATGACAAAAGTTGCGATAGTATTGAAGTCAACAACTCTGAAAGCAAGCGCTTCATTCTGAAGACCTAAGTTTGTTTGTAGCTTTACTGTCCCGTATTCGTTTGGGTCTGTACTTTGCAAATAGAACAACATTTTATTCTCATTAAAATATGACTATTGCTGCATATGCGTATGAAACAAATGAAGCAAGAAGAGCACATGAACTAGTAAACGAAAACTCAACTTTAACAGTGGAAGGCAATGATTTAGTCATTGACGATGGAAAAACTAAAAAAGTCATTGATTTCGATACTTTTAACACTTATGACCCATTCATTACAACAAGCAAGGTTCCCATCATAAATGATGGAACGGTGCAATATATAAATTCTACAGTAGATGCCTCATTAGTGAAAGTATTAAATGTTCTCATTGAATTGTTAAAGAGCTTTCGATTTGACGACAACATTAAATGCCTAAAGAATTTAGTCATGAATGAGAAACAAATTCTCGGCGTTGCTGGTAGCAGTAATGATGTACACCTTATGACATTAGAATATTATAACGAACATAAAGATGAACTGAAAGGAGAGAAGGGTGACACCGGACCTCAAGGACCACAAGGAATACAAGGAATACAAGGAATACAAGGACCTCAAGGCGAAAACGGTTTGGATGGTGAAGATGGAAAGGATGGAAAAACTGCTGAATCATGGATATGGAACCTTATAAATACTGGTTTAACAGCTGCTTCATATGGAGTTCTTCAATACCAAATCGGAAAGATATGGGCAGTACTTGGTGAAGAAGTTTTAGATGACGTTAAAAATGCTTTGAACTTCATTTCAAATGGTTCGGATACTATTAAAACTTTATCTAGTTGGATGCAAGAAACAAGGAGTCAAATAGATACTGTAAGACGTATAGCAAACAATGCACGTACGGGATTGGATACTTTACGAGAAGCACAAAATACACTAAAGGAAGCAAATGATATTCTTGGCTCAGTATCAGACATGCATGAAGATTGGCTTAAAGGTATTGACAAATCTTTAAAAAATCACAGTCAGTCTATTGCTGACTACAAGAAAAGTATAGATTTTTTACATAGTGCTATGGACGTACATGATGCAAGCATAAGGAACTTACTTAATGCTAACAATAACTTACCAGGAACTATTAAAGCATTTATAAAGTCCTTTGTAAAACCTGGTGCTCTAACATTTAGGTCTTTGAGAGCAAGAGCATTGAAGTCAAGAGATGCAGAAACTCCAACAGAACCTACAGAAGGAACTGAAACAACAGAAACTCCAGAAGAACCACCAAAACCAACAGCTAATGAAATATTGTTCGAATATTTTCCAAGGTACTCTGTTCTCATTGCATACATTCAAGAAATACTTAAGAAAGCAGACTTGACTTTAGGAGATGATGAAAGTTCTGTATATCTTTCGTTCCAGTTTCAAATAGCAGAACTTTTGAGACAGATATGCTTAATGTATGACAACATCTCTGATTTCACAAGATATGATGACGACCATGACCCCGAACACGGTGAAGAAGATTTTACAAACATCCATTAAGACAGGAAAGTTTTAACTCAAAGTCTCATTATTGACACCAAAGATGGCGAAGTGGACGTTCTTCAAGAGCTGAAGAAAAATACTTCTTTGGGAGGTGGTGGTAGGTATGAACTTGAAATAATTGAGATAGAAGAGAAATTAGCCGAAAAAGCAGATAAAAACCATGTTCATTATATAAGTTCAGACGAACAGATTATAACGGACTACCATGGATATTTAACACAGGATGAAAAAGTGAAGACGGAAGATGTTAATGAAAGAAGATATAAATTCATTCGTGCTAAAGGTTATGACATACACTGTACTGTACAGTATGACACAGGTAAAGCACCAGAAGCATTTGGTTATAACAATGAAATTTATGCTTCATACTTCTTTGTTAACGGTGTATTAGTTGAACCAAGATTTACATTGAGAGTTAAGGCAAAAATAACTTTTGAAGATGCTATTAAAAGTAAAGCAGACAAAGATGAACTTGACGCAACGAACAAAGTTTTGAAATCTCATAAACACAATATCTCCGATATAAATGAACTTCAAGCTACATTAAATAGTAAAGCTGACAAGAACCATACACATGAATCCTTCACTACTGTTAGAGCAGACGACATAATATTGAACTATACCCTTGGTTCAAGTGCACCTTTAGAGAATCCAAGTACAAGCGTAAAAGATACACTAAACTCCTTAAATAACAGTTGTATGAATATCGAAGGTCATGTCAGAAACTTTGAAACACATGAACTACCAGCAATGTTAGATAAGAAAGCAGATAAAGAACATACACATAACTCCTTCTCAACTGTTGCTATAGAAAGTATTGAAGGAACGGTTGGCGGAACTGGTGGGGATGCATTATATTATAAACCTCCTAACTTTCCACAAGGTTTAACATCGAATGAAAACATAACAACGAAGAAAGAAATTAGCTGTAAAAATGTTTATGTCATGGATGATGAAAATAATGTTAAATTCACTGCTCAAGATTTATATGATAAGAAAGTTGACAAAACAGAGCTTCAAACATTAAAGACTGAAATACTTCAAACATTATATCCTATAGGCTCTATTTATACATCAATGAACTCAACAAATCCAGCAACAGTTCTGGGTTTTGGTTCATGGAAGCAGATTGTAAACAAATTCTTATATTGTACTACTAATTCAAAACAAGCCGGTGGTTCAAAGAAAATTAAAGAAGCAAACTTACCTCCGCACACTCATACAGGAACGACAAACTTTTCTGGCGACCATACCCACTCATTAAGAGACCACCCATTATACAACTCAGACTATGAAGCAGGCAATGACGTTTTATCTCCATCTTATAACAATTCAGCAAAAAAGACTTTTCGACAAACTGAACCAGGAGGAAATCATGTCCATACTTTCACAACAAATCCAACAGGCTTGGGTAAAGATTATATGCCACCATTTGTGACTGTATTTGCATGGTACCGCGTTCAATGAACGCGCTTGAGCCTAGACCCTTTGGGTCAAGGCTTACCGTCTTGAATAAAATCTTTAACTTTACATAAATGAGCTTGAAAGAAGTATTCGAACAACATCCATGGAGGTCATTTAAGAAGTTCAATGAAGCTGCAAAGAGTTGGGGATTTACTAACAGAGCTGAAGTGAAAAGGTTCTTTGACAAAAATGTTGTACATCAAACAAAAATAAACCCTTACGACTACTTTTTACCAATTTACTCCAACACTCCTGACGCATACCAATTTGACACTCTCGTTCAAAGCAGAAAAGGAAGAAAGCCACCATTCCTCATCTTCATTAATGTTAACACTCGCAAAGCATATGCATATTCAATGAAAAATAAAGGAACTCGTGAAGTGTTAAGAGTTTTACAAAAGTTTGTAGCAGAACATAGCCCAAGTACTTTAACATCAGACCAAGACAGTGCATACCTCAGCAATGAAATCACAGATTTTCTCATTAAGCATAACATAACTCACTACACTACTGAAGACCATAACCATAACATACTCGGCATCATAAACCGCTTCATAAGGACTCTCAGAGATTTAAATCAAGAGCGAGACTTTACCGAAGAAACAATGAAACATTTTCTCGAAGTATATAATTCCTCAACACACTCTACAACAGGACATACACCAAATTCAATGACACAACAACAAGAAGAAAAGTATATACAAAAGAAACGAAGTCAAACACAAATATCAGAAATTCCAACAAATTTTACCCTCATTCCTGGTACAAAAGTTCGTGTAGTTCTTGACGACAAACCGTTGACAAAGAAACGTTTAAGGTTAAGTAGAAACTATTATATCGTAGACTCTACGCAAGGTAATGGATATTATAAAAAGCTGCCGACGACTCTATTGCCGTTTTATCCTCGTCATAAATTAGTTGAAAGTAGTAATGGCAAACTTGCTGAAACCATTGACGAAGCAAAGCGAGGAGTGGTTATTGAAATACTTGGCTATAACATAAACGAGACACTTATAAAGTAAGATATGAAGGAGGCGTTGAAGATGTTATATACCATCTAAGAACTTGAGAGAGTCGAAGCCAAACACATCTGGGACCATTAGAGCGGGAGTACTGGAAAGACAAAAATGCCAGAAAGAATAGAAATTCTTTCAACTTTTTTCATTAGATGTAAATCAGACAAAATAATGTTTAGGTGAAGAGGTGAAATCTCACCTCTTTTTTCACCTGTTTTTTCACCCTCGTGAATTTTCATGAATTTCCTTAAGATAGAAAAAATAAAGTTAGTTTTATTTTATATTTTTTTATTTTGTATAAAAGATATGATTTCAACAATCGGTACAACAACAAATCTCAAGCTGCGAACGGCGGGACTGTACTGTCCACAACTACAGCACCAAACTCGTTAGTCATGAATCCTACGTCAATGTTGATAGAGATGAAAAACTTCATTCCTTCTTCATATACTTTTGAAACAGAAATCCAGAAGATAAAGCAAGAACTTTTAACAAGTAATTTAGACTGTAGTGCGAAAGATGAAACAAATGAACAGTATCTTTATGAAATGGAGGACCTCATCGACCATTTGCCTAAACTACCTGAAATTCAGCAGCAAAAACTAACTATTCCTGAATTCGACGAAATTGAAGTCAAAGCAACTGACTCAGTAGAATTAAGAAATTCATACGTAAAGTAAATTATGAATTCCTTGGTTTTCAATTGCAACCATAAAGTTATGGACAAAGATTGCGACATGGTTTATAAAAATATTTCTGACCTTTACAAATCCGAAGATTTAAGACATACGATAACTTTGTTTCATTAGTTGCAAAATGTGTTTGGGAAATAAGAGATAAAGATAGAAGAGGCAAAGTATGGAACGAACAAATAAGACCCGCTATGTTTGAGATGAAGAGAGCAATTGACGCTTTAGTTGTTTTAGCTGGTAATGTTTCAATGTATAACGCAAAAACGATGCCGCAATGTTCAAAATGTAAAGCAGCAATAAAAAATATAAACTACTCAGTCAAAGAGATAGAAAGAATGCGAAACGACTATGCAGACTTAAAGAAAGAAGCAGAAGATAAAATGATATGTTGACATTTCTTAATAAAACTATCCAACAGCAGAATTTCCTTCTGTCTGACGTCAAGAAGAAATATAAAGAGACTTTCGGCATGATTAAACATTCAATGTACTAAAAGAAGAAATAGAAGCTACGAAATTGTTTAGGATTTCAAATATACATCGTACAATTCATGTAAAACGCTTGTGAAAAAAGAGGTGAAAAAACAGGTGAAATCTCACCTCTTCACCTAAACATTATTTTTATTGAATTCAGCACAAAAATAATGAATTTCATTAGTTAGAAAAATAACGCTAATTTTTTTCTAAGAAAAATTTTTATTTGTATGTAAAGACAGTAATGACAAACATTGAGTTTGAAACAGTTTAGAAAGATAGACAATGACACCAAAGTGGTTAGAATAGGTGATTTAAACGTAAGATACTCAAAGAAATACAACAAATATTCTTTGTCAGACATTATATCTCCATCTGAAAAGAAAACAAACGACTGGGTTAGAAATGCTTCAACTCAGAAAATTTTGACAAGAAATCCTGAGCTTATGATATCAGTAGCATTTCATGGAACAAGAGCATATCTTATAGACAAAAGTCTATACCAATAGTTTTGTTATGGTAGACCCAGTTGTTGGATATAACTTCATAACAATATGGTTCATTCGACTCAGAACGTTGCAGTGAAGGCTTACTTTATATCGTTAGAAACCGAAGGACTTCAACACAAAAAGATTATAAGAAGGAAGGACATATAATATAACTCAAAGATATGACAGTACAGTCAATAGAGTCAAGGTTGTGTTTGTTAATGATATGAGAGCTGCTGAAACAGAACTGCTTGAAGTTTTTGAGAAAATGTATGGTGCTCCCACGAAAGGTAAAGAAACGTTTGAAGTAGATGAGATAGATAAAGCTATTAAAATTATTTGACGAAGTTGCTGAAAAATACATGTAAAGCGTTTTATTTTTGGTCTTTTGTGAAAGTCAGAAAATAAACGCTAATTTTTTTATACTAAATTTTTTTATTTGTGTATGTAAAGACAGTAATGTCAACATTAGAGAAACAACAATTGCTATCGTTCATGAAGCCATAAATGAAGAATACGAATACATACAGTATAACAAAACAATTGAGACTCATTCGTTCGGTCAAAGACGATATGTACCAAATGCAAAGTATAATGAACGCTCTTCGTTCTACAAAGCAAGCATATCATTGGTTTGAAAACCAACAGACAAAAGAACTTTTAGAAGAATTTCCTCATATGATTGCTTCCCTCGGAAAACCGAGAGAAGAGATTCCGTACGAAAATCGCAAGAATTTGGCTCCTGGTTTGAAAGGTTATTATGTTCATAGACTTTTTAGTAAACGCTGTAGCAATGTGGGCTTCACCTCGTTATGCTTGTTATATTTCATGATGTTAGATGAACTATATAAAGCAGAACGTGGAGAGTTGGAAAAGAAACTTCAAGCAAAAGATGAAGTCATTGAATCCAAAGACAAAAGCATACAAGAAAGAATACCGCGTTCAGTACCAAAAGGAAAGGAAAAGAGTTATAAGTATATGATATATACTGAAGAGTTGGAGAAAGAAGAAGATAAAGATATGGTTATGTTACATTTAGTCAGAAGAAACAACAAGAGCTTTTATGACTTAGCTAAGATATATAAATCTGACAGAAACTGGTTCTATCGTGAAAACTTACCGATTTCAATGACACCGAATGAACAAATAAAGGAAATTGTCAAAAATACTCTTCCTCAAACACACTATGACATCAAAGGTTGCACAATACTTACATTCAAAGAAGACTTAACATTACTGAAGGAAAAAATAACAGAATATTTCAATAACTTCAAAGAGGAAGAATGAAAAAAAATCTCGTCGGGTGCCACGTTAGGACCATAGTGGAGAAAACCACGATAAAAAACAAAACCCTTTGTCGATTATGATCGACACTGAAAACATTAACGATAAAATTTATTTCCTGGACTGTTGTCTAAATGTCATGTTGTCATCATTTTTCAGTTGTGATGGAATATATCTAACCCTCCCGTTAACTAATAAACTTGACGATCAGACGATTCTCTCTTCGTCAATTATGTTCGACACTGATAACTCAAAGACTCGACATGAAGATGTATGGAGTCATTCGGGACCATGCAGAACAGGACAAATTGTTAGTGGTCCAATTACAGCAGGAAAATCATTTGATTTTAAGCTTCGTTTAAGAATTCCTGTTAGAAGATTCCTTCCATTAGAAGCTATTCGATTTATTCCAGCTTTTGCAGGAAACATTCAGCTTAAAGTAAAGTTCAGTAGCGACGCCTTACAATGCACATCTATATCTGTAAATGATATCATTGCTTTCAGTCCAACCCTTAAAGTTGCATTTGCTTCAGATTCAAATCCACCGACAAATAAATTTGTTCCATGGAATGAACCATTCACTATGATAACGAAGGCAGTAGAAGCTAGTGGAACAGTTACTATTACAACTGTAACCCAGCAACTATTTCGAACAAAGATGGATTTTAATGAATGTTTCATTCATCCAAAGTCATTCTCTTTAGACCCTAACATTTATACAGAACTTGTAGAACATTATACAAACGAGGCTTTATGTTTTCCTGTTAAAGTTATGGATTGGATTCCTATGGACGGTTCATTCTCAAAGAATACAGATAGTTCAAGTGCAACATTTACAGCAGCTTATACGCCTATTAATGTTAAAAGTATTTGGGCACTATTTAGAAAGAAAGACAACTATTATGTTAATTTTGAGAACCCTAAGTTTAAATATCTTCAGCTTTCCATGGGAGCTTATGGAAATATGCCTGCGCAGAACCTGAAAAATCATATGGACCTGTATTTTATGAAATGGTTGCGAACGCTTGCAATACAAACAATGATATGATAGGATTTAATGAAGATGTTATGAGGTCATTGGTGGATGATGGTAGTGTGGAACATAAATGGGATAGCTATGACAACACACATTTCTTATGTGGTTTTCCAACAGAAGTGGACTTTTGCTTCCAGCAAGGTCAAACATCTACTGCTCAATAACATACAAATTGTCTGTTAAAGGACCTATTGAACTAGCAACTGAAAATGTACCAAAGCCACTTATTGGATTTATGAGGGATTGTTGCTTTGCCATTCAGGTGCGTGCTAATGGCATCCCCATAATAAGATTAGATGACTATAACTTAGCTACGGACGACAGTGAGGAATAAAGGATGAACGTTTATTTTTAAAGCTTATAAATGAGTTCTTCATCAAGCTCTCGTGAACCTTCACCATCTATGAAACAAACTTTACCAAACGATTATGGAGCACCTATTGAATATTTTTACGAGCTGCACAATGGCAAAGAGCAGTCTCACAAGGTTAGGTGTTCCACCAGCTCCTGTCAAAATAGCATTTGGTCAAGTCCTTATATAAGATATGGTCTCCCACTAGGTTTGCTAGCTACAGCAGGAGCAGTTATGATGTTGAAAAGAAATAAAGCAAATGTTGTAAATAATACTGAAGTAGCTGAAGTTAAACAAACTCCAACGCCTTCACAAGCAAAACCTTCAATGACTCCTGAACCTATGGAAGTACAAACTCCTGTTCAAAAGTCAACTCCTAAACCGACTCCAACATTTAAACCAGAACCTACTCCTCAAAAAATCGTAAAAACTCCTGCGTTTCCTTACTGAAAAAATAACGTTATTTTTATTTAATATTAAAATTTTTATTTGATTGAAATGACAAATAAAGTCACTGAAGCAATGAAACAAAAAGTTTTTGGTAGAATACATTAAATCAGGAACTATTCCAGAAGGTTTTTACATTCACTCTATGAAGGATGGTAGAGTTCAGTTTAGAAAGATAAAGCAACCATTAGATAGAGAAGGTATATTAAGGAAGATTAAACTTCATGAGGACAACATTGCTGAACTTAGGAAGAAGTTAGAAGAGTTGGAGAAAGGAAGAGAGTTATAAAGCAATGAATTCAACAGGGTGAAAAAAGAGGTGAAAAAAGAGGTGAAATCTCACCACTTCACCTAAATTTATTTTTGTGCTATGTTTTCATACGTGTGAGGGTGGTGATATCATTAATTTTTATATAAATGACGAAAACTATTGAGATAACAAACTACAACGGTCATGAGTTCAAGAATTTGTTCTTCGTTCCTCGTGAAAATACATTCTATCAGATACGAGGAGAAAGGGTAAAGTTAGTTGAGCGTTTATGAAGGAATGAAAGATGAAAGTTTATACAGCATACGATACAAACGGTAAACGTATTTCATTAGCTTTGTCAAAACTTAATAACATTTATTTTGACAGTGACTTTGACTCTGACGATTGGAGCGACAGCAGCGATACTGAAGAATATGAAGTATTGTGTGAAGCACAGCAATGGGAGGAGTTGCAATACTTTTGTAAGTGAGAACGTTTATTTTTTACAGTAGTGAAGTCGTTTGTGAAAACGTTAGTGAGGTGAAGTGGTTGGTGGCTTTGTAAATATTTAAGGTTAAGTTAGTGTTGTTGTTTGTGTTGTAAAATATATGTTAGTGGTTTTGTAAAGTGTCAAATTCACATATAATGGGTAAGGAGGCGCGCAGTGTCTTCGTACACATGATATGTATACTAACTAAAATTGGGAACATCCTGTTTGTTGTTTTGTTAATGATTTTGCTGAGGTAACTCTGTTTCAAACTAACAATTCCTGACATTTTTTGCAATGGAAGATAAGTGCAATAGTAAGTTAATGTTAGGAATAACGCATCTAATGGATCACAACCGTTTTTCCGACCGCGTCTGGATGAAAACTCATGCTCGCGAACAACATCAACTAAATACAAGAGTTGATCCAAAGAAAAGTTACAAAGGTCTTTGACATTTAAGATTGGGTGTGCCTCAAGGAATTTTTGTAAGCTAAACTTTCTGACAACTTTAAATTCTTCGGCATTAGCTGGTGCTTGATTTTCATCTTCACTTGCGGGCTCTGATTCATCAAGATAAGCTAAGTGCATTTGCATTCTCACGATTTCCTTGGATCGGGTTTTGGACTTCTGGATATCATCCAAGAACTCGGAATCATCCTTGTACTCCATTAATGAAAGTGATATGAACATTTCTTCTAAGAGTTTTCATTCAATTCATGTTTTTAAGAAGTTAGTGAATTAATTTTCATATCTCAGAAATTCGAAAAATAATTGTTTAACACAAAAATTGATCAAATGCTTCTCTAATTATCTAAATAGCTAAAATTGTAAATTCAAGATATTTGACACAAATTCAATTTTGACGGTTTGAAACAGTGCGTTTATTCTTCCGTTTATTTCTAAAAGCATAGCATTTTTATTAAATATGATTCTAATAATATTTTTGGATTAAACAGATATCTGTGGTCAATTCTATTGATTTTTTTTCCACTCGGAATACATTTTTAAGATATGTAATTTGATCCCACTACTATCAAATGATTAATGCATATAAAAAAAGCAATTACATTTAAAAAAACGAACTATTGAAAAATTGACAGTTGACGGTATAGTTTCAATTTTTTGAATTGATATCGACTATTTTAAAAATGAAACTCTTTTGGAGTTTTTTATGCATCAAAAGGTATTAGTACACACATATATATAAGATCTAGTAATTCGGTTAAGCATTGAAGGTAATTCAAAGGTTTAGATTTTGATATTTGTTTTGTTTGAATACTCTACATGTATATTTAGACTTCATACAAAGTTCCAAAGGTCTATAAACATAGAAAAAATTTAGGATATGGTAATAAATTTGGTTCGTAAAATTGAAAGGAAAATTTTATCTATTCATATATTTAGAACCATCATGTTAAATATATCTATTAATGAAAAAAAAAAAAAAAAAAAAAAAAAAAAAAAAGGTAGTGGGGCTTCCAGGCACTTCGTGCCTTCTAGCCCTGAGGATGAATGAGTATAAATGAAGTTTTTATTCGGAGGGCTTCCAGGCGCGTTACGCCCTGAAGATGTTTAGTATAAATGAAGTTTTTACGAAGAAGAACTTTACAAAACATAGACAAGAAAGTTCATGAGGAACTCTCAACAAAGTCTTTACGAAGAAGAACTTTACAAAGTCTTTACGATGAACTCTCAACAAAGTCTTTACAAAGTCTTTACAAAACATAGACAAGAAAGTTCATGAGAAAGTCTTTACAAAGTCTTTACGAAGAAGTCTTTACAAAACATAGACAAGAAAGTTCTTGACAAAGTCTTTACAAAGTCTTTACGAAGAAGTCTTTACAAAGTCTTTACGAAGAAGAACTTTACAAAGTCTTTACGATGAACTCTCAACAAAGTCTTTACAAAGTCTTTACAAAACATAGACAAGAAAGTTCATGAGAAAGTCTTTACAAAGTCTTTACGAAGAAGTCTTTACAAAACATAGACAAGAAAGTTCTTGACAAAGTCTTTACAAAGTCTTTACAAAACATAGACAAGAAAGTCTTTACGAAGAAGTCTTTACAAAACATAGACAAGAAAGTTCTTGACAAAGTTCATGAGAAAGTCTTTACGAAGAAGTCTT